GCAGGAAGTAGCGCTCCTGGTCCGTTCCACCGACGGGGGCCGGGCCCCACACGTCCAGGTGGAGAGTCTGCAGAGGAGCAGTGGTCGGAGGAAACTCGGAGGAGTGAGGAGCGGCGCGCTACCGCCCCTCGACGCAAGGAAGGCACGGCGGCGCAAGCGAGCGCGGGAGGGGGGGCAGGGTCTCAGGGAGGCCAGAGACCAGGAGCCGGGAGTGCATGCCGCGCAGACGCTGCAGGGAGGGGTGACCAAGACGGTGGTGCCAGCGCTGAGTCTCGTGCGTGAGTACTCTGCACGAGCAAGACGCAGCTAACTGCCCTGACGCAGACGCTCGACTCGACGCAGCTACCTGACCTGACTCAGCCACCTGTGCAGACGCAGTGGTCAGTGTGTACAGACTAGACCCAGGCTGTCGAGTGAACGTAGCCAGGTGACGGCCAGTCCGGGAGCACGTACAGATCGCCACACGCTGCCCTCCAGGAATAAAGGTATCAACCCAGACATCCTGAATGGCAGCGTTGCTCACCAAGTTCGTCGAGAACGTGGGGAGGTGGAGACCTGACAAAGAGCCGGAGGGGACTGCTGGACAAGGGAGGACCGTGGAGGCTCTCGCAACCACTGGGCCCCCAGAGGGGTCAGCCAGTGAGACTGGGACAGGTGCTGTGAGTGGTGTGACTGTGGTGCAATCACGGAAGAAGCAACGTGACGCGCCTGAGTCAAGCGTGAAAGTGTGCAAGTCCTCAGCTGAGGCAGGACCTGTGGTAGTAGACGCACTAGCACCTAGAGCGTCGGTAGACTCACGGGCACCTAGAGCTGCAGCATACTCACTAGCACCTGGAGTGGCAGCAGACTCACTAGCACCTGGAGTGGCAGCAGACTCACTAACACCTGGAGCAGCGGTCCTAACAGAACGATAACCTCCACCACCAGGACGACCTCGCTGAATAACCCACTCACGAAGCTGCCGAGGGGTGGGGTCGTCCGGGAGAAGCAGTGCCTGCTGCTGTCCACCCCTGGCCGCAGCAACTGCCGCGGAAGTGGCCATGACAGACAGTGACTGTCAGGAGTAGTTCCAGCACCTCCAGCTCCTACAGCGCCAGCAGCACCTCCTGCACTCCCAGCAGCACCTCCTCCACTCCCAGTAGCACAAGTAGCAGCAGCAGCAGTAGTAACAGCAGCAGGGAGGCCGCACCTCCACCACTCCCAGCAGTACTCCCTCCAGCAGCAGCAGTAGCAGGGCGGCTCGGGCAGCAGCAGCAGCAGCAGTAGTAGACCGAGTAGCACTAGCTGTAGTAGCAGTAGGTGCAGCAGCAGCAGCAGTGACAGCTCAGGTTGGGCGGCGCGGCTCGGACAGGGCGGCGCGGTTCGGGCTCAGTGGCGGAGCAGCAGCGGCAAGTAGCAGCAGCAGCAGCAGCAAGGAGGAGCAGCTGCAGCAAGTAGCAGCAGCAGTAGCAAGGAGGAGCAGCTGCAGCAAGTAGCAGCAGCAAGGAGGAGCAGCTGCAGCAAGTAGCAGCAGCAGCAGCAGCAAGGAGGAGCAGCTGCAGCAAGTAGCAGCAGCAGTAGCAGGGCAGTGCAGGCGGCAGCAGCACTGCAGCAGCAGTTCAGGCGCAGCAGCGAAGCAGCAGCAGCAGTAGCAAGTGCCGTACTAGCAGCAGCAGCAGTAGCACTAGCTGTAGCAGCAGGAGCTTCAGTAGCAGCAGCAGTGAGTAGCGCTAGCTGTAGCAGCAGTAGCGTCAGTAGCAGCTGTAGCAAGTGCCGTAGTAGCAGCAGCAGGAGTAGCACTAGCTGTAGCAGCACTAGCTTCAGTAGCAGCAGCAGTGAGTAGCGCTAGCTGTAGCAGCAGTAGCGTCAGTAGCAGCAGTAGCAAGTGCCGTACTAGCAGCAGCAGCAGTAGCACTAGCTGTAGCAGCAGGAGCTTCAGTAGCAGCAGCAGTGAGTAGCGCTAGCTGTAGCTTCAGTAGCGTCAGTAGCAGCTGTAGCAGGTGCCGTAGTAGCAGCAGTACTGTGTAGTGCAGCACTAGCTGTAGCAGGCGTAGTTGCAGTAGCAGCAGTAGTACTAGCTGTAGCAGTACTAGTTGAAGTGGCACTAGCAGTGACAGTTCAGGCTGGGTGGCGCGGCTCGGACACAGTGGCAGAGCAGCAGCGGCACGTAGCAGTAGCAGCCGGTGCACAGCAGCAGAAGGCGCGTGCGGGCTGTGAGCTAGCACCTAGGGGCGCGCAACAGGTGCACGCGGAGCAGCTGAAAAGGAGCGCGCAGCAGGTGCGTGCTAGGGGCTGGCGGGCAGCGTGAGTGGCGCGCGCAGCAGCAGGAACGAGGGGGGACCGGGCGTAGGGGCTGACGGGCCGCGCGAGAGGCGCACGGGGCAGCTAGGGCGCGGTCAGGGGGGGTCGCACGTGACTAGGCAGAAAAATCGCGCCTAGGGCAGAAAAATTGAACCGTTTCGCCTAGGGCACGTTTTCGCATTTCGTTTTTCTCCTAGGGGCGCGACTCGGGCAGTAGATCGAAATAGTAGTGGTGGGCCCTTTTAAAAATTCGGTCCTAAGTAGCTTTTTGCTCTTAATACCATGTTATAATTACTAGCTAGGTGAGGATGTCGATTAGGTAAGGGAGGGGGATACAAGACTATCGAGAGTGAAATGTTGTACCCTCTAAGGAAAGAACCCTACACAACCTAGAGTGAAATGAACGGAACAATATATGTTTTGACAGGCTCCTCAGGTACACTTGCAGGGCAGGGTGGTTTTCGATGTTGGCCAGGGGCACCCAACTATCTTCAGTTGGCGTGCGGTCCTTCCAGCGAACGAGGAATTCAATCCTCTTGATTCCCGTGGGGTGTCGAATCCGATGGCTCAGGATTTTTTCGGGCTCAATGATCGGCTCCGATGCAGGGCGAGTCATGGATGGCGGGCGGTGACGAGGCAGTTGGCTTGTGGTTGGGATGTATGGGCGAAGCAGGCTGACGTGGAATGAGGGGCTGATGTACCAGTCCGTCGGCAACAGTAGGTGGGCTGTCACTGGGGTAATCATGTGGCTGATTTGGAATGGTCCACAGTAGCGGGGTCGTAATTTCGGTACGACGGGCAGTCTTTAAGTTCTGCGTGTCGAGCAGTACGTAATCTCCTGACTGGTGCGTGACTGGGCGGCGGTGGCGGTCAGCGTTGCGTTTAGCGATGACATTGGCTTTTTTAATTGCTTCAACGGCTCTGGTGTGGGCAGCGGCAGGGTGGGGCCATGTCGGCGGCAGGGCGAGGCCGTGGCGGCGGTAGGGTGGCGCGCGCCGCTGCCTGGGGCCGCGCACTGGCGGGTAGAGCGCGGCGCGGGCTGCGCGGACGGCGCGCAGCGCGCTGCGGGCCGCGGACGCGCCGCCGGGCTTTGGGTGGGCTGCGCGGGGCAGCGACGGGCCGCGCGCGCGCTGCGCGTGCTCGGCGCGGGCCGCGCGGGGCAGTTGGGTGCCGCGCGCGCGTCGCGCGGGCTCGGGGCAGGCTGCGCGGGGCAGCTGCAGGCCGCGCGCGCGCTGCGCGGGCTCGACGCGGGCTGCGCGGGCCGCGAGCGGGACGCGACGCGGCTGCCGAGGCGCGATTCGGGCAGGAGAGGGCGACCCGCGGGGGTAAAAACGAGGCAGCGCTTGAAAATTAGGTCTGCGCGCGAAGCAGCAGCAGACAGCTCAGACAGTAGACAGTAGGCAGCAGGCAGACGGCGCGCGCAGCGCAGCACGTCACAGGCACAGTCAGTCACAGTCACAGTCGTGGGGTAGCGGTAGGTGGGCCCGAAAAAAAACGGTCCTACGGACCTACTGCTCTGAAACCATGTCAGAATGAAGAGGCAGGAATGATTGACTAGGAAGCAAGGATGAGTACAAGTAGGGCAAAGTCTAACCCTAAAGTGTTGTACTCAGTAGAGGCTACCCCACTACAGCCTACAACATAGAAACATAGTTTGACAGTTGCTAGGCAAGGCTTGACTTGGGAAAGGTTATGGTGATCAAAGGCAAGTACCAGTAGATTGAAGTGGCTGTGCTGACGTGTAACTGTGTAACGCACTCAGGGTTGGCATCTGAGCAAGTTCCCATGCAGGGAGATGAGGGGCTGTACTAGAGAATATCCATCATTGGTGTGTTATCGACAGCAGATGGAAACAAATCTCTTCATTAATCACACACGTGCACGAATCCCAAAAATGCGTCTTATTTCAACCTAGACAACTTCCCACAGAGCGCGAACTTGTTTCCTGCGTGTCCTTCAACCATGTGTGATGCTTTCGTCAATGTGTTAAGGGTCGCAAGCATGGCTTCCGCTGTGATCACCGGCTGCTCAATACGCGCTCGAAAGCTGTACCGCTTGCGGCGAGACTTGGGCCTCGTGATGTTGACAAAGGTGTAGGATGAACTGGAGGCTCCTTCAGAGCAGGAAGCGACAGAGCTTAGGTCGGGTTGACCTCCTCCCTTGAGGTTCAACAGAAGAATCTTGATGACCAGGTTGTATGACGTTGAAGAGTACCTGTCAACAGGACAAGCAGGGATAAGAAGTGGAGAGTAAAGCATGTGTATTGAATAGATGATCCCTTGGAACGTATTGGGAGAGCCAGAATCGGACAAACAAAGAGTGGCTGATTGTGCGGACGTTTCTAAAACACGGGGCCCAAACTGGTAAGAGACGTTGGGACTTTACAGCACTCGTGTCAGCACCGACGGCGAGACGGGTCTCGCGATGGTGCATCTCTCACGATTCTTGAAAGGGATTGTGACTCTATAGCCCAGGGATCGTGACTCTGCAGCCCAGGGATCGTGACTCAACAGCCCCCCTCTCAAGTCAGCGTGACTCTGCAGCACTCGGGTGAGCGCCAGTGGAGCAAGTGAAGGAGCGGACGAGTGAAGGAGCGGACGAGTGAAGGAGCGGACGAGTGAAGGAGGGGACGAGTGAAGGAGGGGACGAGTGAAGGAGCGGACGAGTGAAGGAGGGGACGAGAGAAGGAGGGGACAAGTGAACGAGGGGACAGGCCGTACTTCACTGCCTTGACGGAAATTGCCCCCGAAGCTCCTGCGTCACCAACTATTTTCCCGTTGACCTTGGTGGGACGCAGCGTCGCCGCGTATTTCGCTATAAACTGGAGAGAGGGAACACAACGAATCGGGATGGAGGGGAAATGAAAAGCCGCACACCCTTCAACTGCAGCACACAAATCAGCTGCACTTGGTAGATGCCAGCGCTCCAAACCCGATTGGGATTTTTGCTGGCAGCAAACATTATCCATTAACAAGCTGTTCAGTTCATGACGATATCTCTTGGTATCATTACGACCTGCAAAGAATCTATGCGCACAATCGATCATACAGCCAACGGTGGGCTGCCCGTTAAAAAGCGGTCACTGCTGGAAAACCGCTGCCCGTAAACAAATCGTTACTTCTGACTCTGGCAATGCCTGGGTTGATCCTAAGGCACTTACCGTATTTCTTTCCCTTATAAAACAGGGGCATGGCCTGAGCGGCAGAAGCGGTAGAACCGGCAGAAGCGGCAGAAGCGGCAGAAGAGCCGCCTTGGCGCGAGAGGAGCGCGTCGAGCAATGATGTGGCCGTCTCGCCGGTGCAGACCGCCGCACCTGCAGGCAGACAGGCAGGCAGACAGGCAGGCAGACATGCAGGCAGACAGGAGAAGCACGGTTGAAGACGTGACGTGGGGAACGCCGAACGCTCATTATCGATCTGCCAGATCTGCCTCTGTTGTCCGACAGAAACTGTAAGTAGGCTCAGGGACAGTCTCCGTTAGTATCCGACAGAAATTGTAAGCAGTAGCCTCAGTGACAGTCTCGATGCGAAATTGATTCCAGCAGTAGCAAAGTCAGAGCCTAAACGAGTCGACTAAAAAGTCGCAGCAGCAGGGCTTACAGAGCAGCAAGCAGAGGAGAGCCAACGCGCGGCGCTCCATGATGCTCGCCCGCTAGGGTTTCGCCAAAGCCACTAAAAGTGAGTCACTCGCAATATTTGCGGACACCGATTTCACACGACTTCGAGCACCGTATGATATGAATCATCAGCGGCAGGCCGGGGGAGTTTTAGAGGAACCTTGCATGAAGCCGGTGGTACTAGGTTGAGGTGTGTCTTGAGCGATGATCGCCGGGTGGTCGTACAATCGGCCTACGTGCACGAACATCTTTGACTGACACGTAGGCCGATCGCAGGCCGCTATAACCACTCTGCGAGTGACACCTAACAATCGCGGTGCCCACTGAAGATAAGCCCGTTAGTGTGCAATCTATCAGGCACTGGGTGGACGACATTGTACTATCGCTGCGCCACTTGCATGTCACCGGCGAGCCTGAGGGTACGTTGCCTCCTAACCTGATCCGTACAACACCTAACAAAACGACAGCATGCTCGAGTAAACTAACCGCAAGATGACGGGATAATAGCCGCAAGACGACGGCATCTACCGCACGATGACGGCAAATACCGCAAGACGACGGCATACTAAGTAGGTACGTACGGACGACTGATCCGCAACATCTGATTTTGTCAACGCCTTGTACACGCGAATTCGCGCTATTGTGTTTTCGATATACATCAGAACATCCTGTGGTTTAGGGCGATTACGCTACTGAGACATACAAAACTATCTGGCTTCCTGAGCTGGTTCAGGGATGACTTGCGTGTGGTAAAATCTCTTCACCGGTTCGGCCGTTAATATATTTTCGATTCCTTTGGACCGAAACGGATGGTGCATCTAGTTTAGACGCCTTAGTGCCCTCTTCTCGCTTCCCCGTAGCATGCATGATGGCCGGCGGGACGACGCGGGGCTCGCGTTTGACGTGCTCCTCTTCGTCTCCACGGTTCGTGCCGCTATAATCCCCGAATCTTGTATCACTTATGAGAAGCTGCACCTAACCTGCTCTTCTTTGAATTGCACGCCCATCTCATTGGAACACACTTGCTCTGTTGTGGTACGTTTCTATATGGTTTCTTGAAAACAACAGGAGTGCATCAATTCTCATGGACTTTGTTACCACATGCACACTGACTTCTAGTCAGGTCGACACACGCCCACACACACATGCATCTCCACCCTGCACCGATCACACCACTTCATGGAACCCTAGCATTCCACCTACACCCAAATGCATCCTATTTCCCTTTTTTCATGACCTTCCCACTGAGCGAGCGCTTGTTACCTGCGTGCCCTGCCACTGCATGTGAACCTCCTACCAGAAACGTCATCGTGTCGCGAACATTACTCTCTGAGTCCAGAACCTGCTCTGTAAACATTTTATAACTGTACCGCTTGCGGCGTGCAGCTCTGTCACTTGTGATGTTCACCAGGGTGAACGTTGGTGCGGGAGCTTCTGTGGCGCAGGAATTTACAAAACCGAAGCGGGGTGGGCCTCCTGGTATGTTCAAGATAAGAATCTTCATTATCATAATGTACGTCGATGCAGAGTACCTGTCAGTCGACAGGGAAGGGCAAGCGGAGACAGGTTTTTTAGAATTCTCTAAGACCAGCTCTTTATTATCATAATGTACGTCGATGCAGAGTACCTGTCAACAGGGCAGGGCAAGACGAGACAACAATCAAAGAGTTTTTTTGAGTCAACTCAAATGCCACTTGGCCTCCTGGTGTGTGCAATATAAGAATCTTCACTATCAGATTGTACGTCGATGCAGAGTACCTGTCGACAGGGCAGGGCAAGCGGAGAGAAGAATCAAAGAACTTACTTTCCGAGCGCTACATAGAAGCTCCCTCCGAATTACTGCCATTTGGTTCAGAGAAAAAACTTGACGATTTGGAGGAGCATATATTGGTTGATCATGCGAACGTCTTAGAAACCCTTGTGAATTCACAGACTCGTGCCATTGCAAGTGGAACGAGTGTCCCCTCTCACAGCTCTCAAAGATCATCGTGACTCCAAGAGGCTCGTTCAGGTGGCAAAAGTCATTGTGACTCGTGTCAGCGCCAGTGGAACATGTGTCCCCTCGCACGACCCTCAACTGTCATCATTGTGACTCCTTAGAACGCACTAGGTCACAAGGGCCAGAGTGGGCCCACAGACTCGTGCCAGCGCCAGAGGGTGGGAAGTGTCCCCTTGCACGCCTCGCACGACTAGCACGAATCTCATATATAATTGTGACTCTGCAGGACGCGCTAGGTCACAAGGGCCAGAGTGGGCCCACAGACTCGTGCCAGCGCCAGAGGGGAAAAGTGGAGCAGGGGGCAGGGCAGTGGCTTACCTCACTCCCTTGAGGGGCAGGGCAGTGGCTTACCTCACTCCCTTGAGGGGCAGGGCAGTGGCTTACCTCACTCCCTTGAGGGGCAGGGCAGTGGCTTACCTCACTCCCTTGAGGGGCAGGGCAGTGGCTTACCTCACTCCCTTGAGGGGCAGGGCAGTGGCTTACCTCACTCCCTTGAGGGGCAGGGCAGTGGCTTACCTCACTCCCTTGAGGGGCAGGGCAGTGGCTTACCTCACTCCCTTGAGGGGCAGGGCAGTGGCTTACCTCACTCCCTTGAGGGGCAGGGCAGTGGCTTACCTCACTCCCTTGAGGGGCAGGGCAGTGGCTTACCTCACTCCCTTGAGGGGCAGGGCAGTGGCTTACCTCACTCCCTTGAGGGGCAGGGCAGTGGCTTACCTCACTCCCTTGAGGGGCAGGGCAGTGGCTTACCTCACTCCCTTGAGGGGCAGGGCAGTGGCTTACCTCACTCCCTTGAGGGGCAGGGCAGTGGCTTACCTCACTCCCTTGAGGGGCAGGGCAGTGGCTTACCTCACTCCCTTGAGGGGCAGGGCAGTGGCTTACCTCACTCCCTTGAGGGGCAGGGCAGTGGCTTACCTCACTCCCTTGAGGGGCAGGGCAGTGGCTTACCTCACTCCCTTGAGGGGCAGGGCAGTGGCTTACCTCACTCCCTTGAGGGGCAGGGCAGTGGCTTACCTCACTCCCTTGAGGGGCAGGGCAGTGGCTTACCTCACTCCCTTGAGGGGCAGGGCAGTGGCTTACCTCACTCCCTTGAGGGGCAGGGCAGTGGCTTACCTCACTCCCTTGAGGGGCAGGGCAGTGGCTTACCTCACTCCCTTGAGGGGCAGGGCAGTGGCTTACCTCACTCCCTTGTACACGATTTTCCCCGAAGCTCCTGCGTCACCGACTAATTTCCCCTTGAGCATGGTGGGGCGCAGTTTGACAGAGTATTTCACTGGAAACGGGAACAAGAGGGAAGGGGACGATGAAAAGGTAGGTGAAAAGTGATTCTGATCAAACATGAACATACAGTTTTACATGGGTATGCGTGCATTGCATCGGAAAGAAGGGAAGTGAACGGTGTCGCACACGCATCAGATGCAACGAGCACACGCATCAGATGCAACGAGCACATGGGCTGCAGCAAACACATGAGCTGACATCATTACCATACACGGGAACGAAAAGGACCAGCAAGGTGGGGAGATGAATGACGCAGCAAGCACTTCAGCTGCAGCAACCACTTCAGCTGCAGAAACCACTTCAGCTGCAGCAACCACTTCAGCTGCAGCAACCACTTCAGCTGCAGCAAAGGTGAGTAATTGCTTCTGTAGGCTCAGACACTTACAAAATGTCTTCCCCTTCCAAACCAGGGGCCTGGCGGAAGGGGCAGAAGTGGTAGAAGCGGCAGAAGCTGAGGAAGGGACAGACGCGGCAGAAGAAACGCCTTGGTGAGCGAGGAGCGGTAATGATGTGGACGACGCGCCGTAGGCAGTGCAGACCGTCGCACCTGCCAAGGATGCAGGGAGCCACGAAGGCAGGCAGGCAGCACGAGTGGAGGCATGAGGCACGAATGCTCAAAGAATAGATGAGTGATGAGTGGCGGCATGAGGCACGAATGCTCACAAATCAAACAAAACTGTAACCTTAGCGGCACGGGGACTAAACTGACAGACTGTAAGTTATCAGACGAAAACCGTTGACGACAGCCTATGGGCTAGTAGCAGCCCACTCGGGATTTGCAAGACTTACAGAGCAGCAGGCGCGAGAGGAGAGATAATGCGCGGCGCTCCATGCCGATCTTACTATTAGTAATGCTTCGTCGGCTTGGCTCTAGGCAATACCAGAAAGGTAAAACGAATTACTGACACATGCTTTGCGGCGGATGGCCGTTTGATAAACCGATCTTAATAGGATTCGAGAATGTCTCACACTGCATGTGAGAGTCGAACCGTTGAAAGCCGGCAGGTGCATCAAAGGAGCGCGGGAAAACGTGTGGATCGGAACGGTTTCCTGAGAAAACTCACTCGTTGCACATCGAAGCGACACGTAGGCCGATTGATGGCATTTTAACCACTCGGCGAGCGACATTTAGACAACTGAAGAATTCGGAGGCCAGTGAAGATAAATCGCCGTTCAAGATTCACTAGGTCGCAGCTGCCTAGACTTGCCAGTGGATGCATCATGGACGAGTTGACTTTCGCGTTGACTAACATGTCAACTCAGCTTTCGCCACAGCACGACGACTTGCCCCCGCAAACCGGGTTCTCCCAACAGTCAGATGCGCCTAACAAGTAATACTGCACGGCAGCGACTTCGACAGCGCGCATCTCGAATCGCTAGGAAGGTACTTGGTTGGGACTAGGGCCGCGTTACTTCCGGGAATTGAGTACGGCCGCCATGCTTCGCGGAATTGAGAATGAATTCGGGATGACGTCGCTAGAATGAAGTGGGAATTTGAAAGGCCCGTACGCGCCAGAATCATGTGATACAGTGTTACGGGTGCAATGGATCTAAGTAGCGAGGATTGCACTAAGGTGTCAAAATGAGTACAAAATGTGAGCGGCATGAGCGAACATTTATACGCGAAACATGCAAACGGTAACGCGGTGCGTGCGAGCTAGCTAGTGCTACGCTGGCAGTGAGGCTCGGGCTAGTCCCGAAGCGTAGGCCGACGAGGCCAGGCCAGCAGTGCGAGGTTTGGTGAAACAGTGTGCGCGAAGTCGGCGAAGCCCCGTTAGCTGTAACGGGCGAACAACGGCTGCTGCTGTACGCGATGTTGCAGGGCGCGCTAAGGAATATCGAGAAAATTCCTTACACTACCCCCCCCCCCTTCAAGAAGCCCCCTCCGCTACGTGAGTGCGTGTATATCGCGGAAACCCCGGCTCTGTTAGAATTACTAGCTAGGTGAGGATGTCGATTAGGTAAGGGAGGGGGATACAAGACTATCGAGAGTGAAATGTTGTACCCTCTAAGGAAAGAACCCTACACAACCTAGAGTGAAATGAATGGAACAATATATGTTTTGACACACCCCCATAGGTGAAGGAGGGGATAGCCAAACCTAACAGTGGTCACAAGACCAGACAAGCAAGAGTACAAGCAAGGCAAAGCTCAGGGTGGATCTCAAGGACACCACACAATCTGAGCACAAGCAGGCGGCCACAAGGCCAGTTCACATGCAGAGTTATAATAGCAAGGCAGTACACTGATCACAACCTAGCAAGAGTAAACATGCAGGTATAAAGATATATAGCAGTGTACAACAAGAGCAAGTCAAGCAACCAGCAGGTGAGGCAGAGTGGGCACAAGCCCAAGAGCAGTGCTGAAACGCTGATGATCACCAGACCCAAGGGCCTTGGTGAAGACATCAGCAGTGTTGGCCCGAGAGGCCACGTAAGCAAGGCGCAGCTGACCACGCTGCTGCAGCTCACACGCAAGGAAGTAGCGAAGAGCAATGTGCTTCGTTCTATGCTCCAGTCTCTGCTCGCGACACAAGGCAAGCATTGCCTTGTTGTCCACGCACAGAACTGGAGGAGAGCGAGGCCGCTCCCCCAAGTCGGTCAGCAGGTAGGTCAGCCAGCGTAGCTCCTATGCAGCCATGGCCCCAGCGTAGATCTCGGCCTCACACCTGGAGCCAAGCACAGAAGAAGAACGAGTGGACCT